CTATTATCTGTTTTATTTATGTTTTATTTTAAAATATCTTCCGGAAATATTTAAATAAAGAATTAAAATTTAATTTAAAAAATTATATATTAATCAAAATAAAATATAATTTAGAACAATATTTAAATATATTTTGGTTATAAATAAAACTAAAATTAAAATTTTATTCATCATATATATAATAGTACGGCTGCACGGTAGATATATCATTAAATTATAATTGTTATATACTTGTTTCAAGTTTTATAATTTTCTATGTGCATTCACTTTATACTCTGTTAATTATGAATTTTTAATTTTTCTATATTAAGGAAGTTGGCAATATACCACCTTTATGTCCATCTATTGTATCAAATACTATTGTTACTAGTTAGCTTTTTCTGTCAACAACTATAGTTTCATTCATTACGTATTGTCTTGATTGTAATTTAAAATTCATGTGATGTATTTTGTGACAGTTCAATTATATGTATTTTGATTTTTTTTGTTATTATATATATATATTTGAATTTTTCTTTAATTTTGATTAATTATTTAGCTTTAAGGTTTTTGTATGTTCTTGTTTTAAAATTTTGAAAAGTACAAATATATGTAAAAAAAAAAAAGTAGGCTTATGATTTTTTTATATATAAAAAAGCAATTTGACATATAAGTACCATTAGATTTGAATATTTGATTTAATTAGACATTATAACAACTAGTATGAGTGCTTGTCATAAACAAGTTCACTAGAATTACTCAAATAGGTAGAATTTTACTCTATGTCAAGTAAGATTCAATAGAGTATCAAATAGGTAAAATTATTTCCTAGACTTATTGGTGAAGAACAAGAACCTATTAATTTGGAATAAGTTTTCAAAGAAAGGAATTTTTTGTAATAATTATTATTTTATATTTTTATATTATTCGAATTTATTCAAACGTTAAAATATTTTAATTTTTTTTAGATAAATTTTAAATATTATATGAATTAGAATCTTTTAAAACTCTCTTTTAGAATTTTCTTAGTTAATTGAGGTATTATAATTTTAACCCTTCCACATTGCATATAAATAGGGCCTTAAAGATAAATGCTAGCACTTTTGATTTTTCAAGGTTAAAATTACTCTAGATAAAGAGTATTTAAACTGCGGTTTAGAATTATTTTAGGCTTGTGTTCATAAATTAGAGAAGATCACAGTACTAATCCTTTGAGGAATTTTTGCTCATGGAAGAACCTTTAGAGAAGATCAAAGTTCATCAAGGAGCAAGGCAAAATGAGAAGGACTCCTCTAAAAACCCTTTGAAGATCATGGTCAAGGTATGTATTTTCTAGGGCTTCACATTTCAATTATACTCATAATGCCTAAACATATTTGTATGATTCATATACATGTTAAAATAAATAAATCATATAATATCTTAACCGATGATATTAGACATTAAAGTCGGGTAAATATGGTATCCTTAGGTTTTGCAATTAAATGTTCATCAAATTATATATGAGAAGCCTTTGAACTGTGTTGCTTGTGCTTTAGTATCTAATTTTTCATAACATATTCTTACATTAATTGACTATTGAACCAAGTGAAAACCAAAATTTTATGCAGCCATTTACACAAATCAACCTTCATAACTTTCTTGTCTAGAGAGAATCCAAGTTGATTTGTTGATTGAAGAACTTGACCAGTATGTTTCTATCATCACTGAGTAGTTGGAAGACTTTACTCATTATGTATGTTCGACGATATGATCATCACATGTCATGATAACAAGGGAATTTAAGAGTTGAAACTTTTTCTATAATAAAAATTCCAAACTCTACTTTGAAAAGGCAGCTAGATCAAAGAACCAAATTGCTAATTTCAAACTTTATGTTGGTGATGATGAACTATTAGAGGATTCTTATATATAGAAGAGGTTGGCTAGAAAATTAAATTACCTCACTCTGACTTGTCTAAATATTTCGTTCATTACAAATGTTGTAGATCAATTTATGGACTCTGTACAAAATAGCCATTAGGACATTGTTGTGTATAACTTGAGGAGGTATCTTAATCTAAGTGTATATATGCATTGATTGGGTTGTTTAAACTTCTAGTTGTAGATTACAAAATGTTATATAGTGCTTTTAGAGGTGGTAACATAATGATTAAAGCAATAAAGATCAAATTTTGTTGTATAATTTAGTACTAAGTCAATTATCGAGCTATGACTCATACTACTTGTGAGCGTACAACTGGCTGAGCTAGTGCAGAGTTCATTTGTCACAAACTTAGTGCAAATGATAATATAAGCTCTAGCTTATATTTTGTGGTGTTCAATCCTTCAATTAGTGGCTAGAAGATCCAAATTTTGAGTAATGATATTAGGAGGTGCAAAGTAATGTAAATAATAATATAATAAACACCATCTCAGTTCTCTGTACATTGAAGGTTTGTTGTTTTACATTGACGCTCCAAATCCCACTCAATTACTAATGCGTGAATACAGAAGGAAAAGCGCAAGTCCAAGGTATCACATCACCTAGTTACCACTCAATGTTTGGACAATGGTGTTGTGCCATGGGTCAGACAGGTGCTGTAACAAGTTGTCAAAAGGCCCTTGTCCAGTCACATTGTGTTGCACAATGAATCCCAAGAACGCCAACATTGCCAGTCTCCCTGTATTCATCAACCACACACTATCTTTAAGTTTCCTTCAAATATCATAGAAAATTTTGAGTGAAAATTCCAAGTAAATTCTATGGTATATTCAAGCAGTTCTTTTTTTGTGATTTCTTCATTAAACAATATTTTTCGAATAAAAATAGCAATCTAATTCCAACTAAATTCTAGACCACACTTTTTCTTTTGTGATTCTTTCACTGACAAGTGGAAACATAAAATCTCCATCCAAGTAACTAGCGATATAATTATAAGTAAATTCAAGATCCAACTCAATTAGTACTTGTTTTTTGTGATTCCTTACAAGAAGTAAGAATACAAAATCTACAATGGTAGACTTGAATACCCGAATCAAGTTAAATCGATCATGTATCAAATGCGTAAATTATAATGATTTAAATGAATAACTAAGATCTTTGAATGAATTGAACTAGAATATAAATAAATTTGAAGTAAACTCAAAAAGTAAAGGTTTTAGTTAACCGTGTCTAATTAACCAAGTATTAAAATGTGAAAGATATGGTTGATTACTGAGTTACCATTTGCTAGCTCCTTCTCTTTGGCCTCAAGGGTAGGAGCAAAGTTGAGTGGGTTGAAAATGCCACCTGGATAACCACACTCATTAGGAGGCAAACTGTATTGTTTGAAGATGGGATCTTGGTTCACACTTCCTGGGTTCTTAATATCTTGCCATCTTCTGATCTCCACGTAGTGGAACAATATGAACTCAATCACAAACAGAGTAGATGAGGAAGCAAAGTACTCTGCTTTCCCAGCATCATACCACTTGGGAACATTAATTATCCCGATCTTGGTGAAAACTTCAGCAACAACATCCCTGCAACACCCAACATTGCCCAGCGCCCATTGACAAGCTCAGCTTGCACGAACCATTTCAAGTTTTCTGGGTCCTCAGCTAGCCCTAGAGGATCAAACCCATTGTCACCAGGAAGGCTGCATTTTCACAAACAACTTTCAGTCATTCATTCACCCACTTAATTAACACAAAGAAACAAACAAGAATGTATCTGTTAAGGGTTTACCTTCCATTAAGGTAAGCTGGGGAAGCCAAACCCGGTAACCACTCGCCTTTCTTGGCTTCTACTTTGAGAGAAGAGGTTGACGATGAAGACGCCATTGCAGGTTTAATGGAGATTTCCCTGTTGAGTTTCCCAGATGATCCATTGAGGAACCTGGACCTGGAAGTGCATGGCCGGAAAACGGCAGCCGAAGCCTGCGTTGTGACGGTCGCCATTTTATCCGACCAAAGAAGAAGATGCTGCTGCGGTGGTGATGGTGAGAAGCTAAAAATGTAATGTGAAGTGATTTCTTAACACAGACATAGACATAGACATAGACACAGTCTGGTCTGTGGTGGTGGTTGGTTGTTTAAGATTGACGGTTGATTTTTGTGATTCAGAGATTCCAACGGCTGAGATGAGTTAGTGGGGCTTTGATCAGCCAATGAAAAGCCTTGAGGCTTATCCTTTTATCCTGCTGGTATATCCGCAAATCTATTTCTGTGTTGCTGTTGGTTGCAGAAACATCCGTGGGGCCTACACTCTTGCCACGTAGGAAGATTTTTTGTGTCTTGTTGGATGATATGATGGAGGCATTATCCAATCATTGCATGCCAGGTGGCCCTTCACATATCGAAATCAAATCTGGAAGATATTCAATTTTTTAAGCTTATATGACGTCATAAAACAAAAAAAGAAAATTAAAAGCTTTAAATGAAACAAGAATCTGGCTTTAATGGGATTAGTTTTTCTGATATGAGTTTAGAAAAGTATTTTAAAAAGTAATTTTTAATTAAGATAATTTTAAGGTGAAAAATAATATAATTTTTAAAAGTAATTCTAATATAAATATGTTATTATATTTAATTAATTATGTTAGAAAATTAATAATAAATGTCTTTACCATTGGCATACGAGTATTCCCAAGTTGATATCATGTTCTGTCTTCTGAATTTTTGGTAGATAGAGGTATATATGGCTTCATGCAATGGCACGTAGTAAGATTTACAGCATGTTGGCTTTATTTTTGGGACAACCAAGAGTAAATTGCATTTGTGGAAGGTTTAACAATTATTTGGGTTGTATTGTTGCATGTATTTCAATTTAAGATAAAATATTTTTATTGTCATATATTATATTTTTTTAGAAGATTCATGTTTTATATTTTTAAATATTTTAATTTATTTTAAGCGTAACACTGTAACTTCTGTTAACTTGTGAAGTTTCTTTAAGTGTATAAGAG